GTGGGTGTGGGTGTGGGTGTGGATGTGGGTGTGGGTGTGGGTGTGGGAGCGTGTGAGTGGGTGTGGCTGTGGGTGTGGATTTTGCTGTGATTGAAGAAAAGTGTATACCAACACCTACACCCATATCCACCCATCGACACCCACACCCACACCCACACCCACACCCACACCCACACCCACACCCTCCCGTCTATGAAGCTTTGGCTTTTTCATTGCAGACAAACATCAGAGAACCCATGAATGCAGACAGATTTCTTAGATATACACACCAGTCAGAAAATGACTTAAAGCTAAAAAGAAAAAATATTGTCGGAGAGGGTTTATATGGCACGGTGTAGTGAGATGAATCGAACTACTCCTTTACGAGTCTTACTGTAAGCATATTATAAGGCAAAAGGTTAGATTCGAACATGTTCACAATATTTTACTTTTCAGTTGTTTAGATGATTGACGTATATAATAACCGAGAAACATATTTCTGTCTTTTACTTAGAATTCTTTTATAAATATTCGTAATGATCAAAGCTAATTTATGTAGCATAAAACTATATAGATAAGCTTAAATCAGACTTAGACTTCATTAATTTGAAAAAAAGAAATTTCTGGCCCTAAAAGTTCCGACAAAATTGATATATGCAAAAAAAAAACAATTAAGTAGAAAAATAAATCCATAATTCTATAAATCGAACAAACTAATTTTCTTTGCCTCATGAATCGAATGAACTCTAAATTAGATTACTTATGTGTAATTTGAATAAATTTTTAAATTAAGCAATCCAAGTTCTATATTTGAAATAAAATATAGTTATGACAATCAAAATCGAAAAATTATTTTCGGATTAAATTACTTTTAATTTATTTTAAACATCTCATCACTTATGAAATTAGAAATTCGAAATTTTGGGTGGAGATGAACAAGATTATCTGTATGTTTTCTTACTTTTAGTACTTCAATACACTTTTCATGTTACTACTCAAAAGTAAAAAATCTTGGTTTCTTGAAGAAATACATCATAATATCGTCAATAGTAAATAATGAAGAATGTAAGTAACACACACACATAAATATAATGAAACATAATAAATATCATGTATAACTTTGACTTCAGTATTGGCATCGAGAGTCTCCTTCACATTTTCTCTCTAAATACACATGTTAACATTTTTTTCATTAAATTTTCAGATAGGTAAAAGGAGTAATGTTAGTGGCAATATAAATATACATATATATTGCTATGCATTTGATAACTATTAGTAAATCTTTTAATCTTAACATAGTAAAGCAATCTTAATTGTCGAAAATGACAGAAAAAATGTTTTTTTAGCTGAATGCTAGACGATAACCTTATAATATTCAAAAATCATACTCTATAATGGAAAATGCAGGTGCACGTGTTTCCATCATTATTCCCCAAACATTCTCCTTTCTTAGCATAACATATAGAGATTTTATTTTATTTTAGAGTACAGCTGTATAACTGCGTAGTTAAACGATTTAAGAAGGTTATTGAAATGATTTCATAAAAAAGGTTTTAAGTATAAGACTTTTAGACATTCAGGGATGTAACATAAATCCATGTATATGATTAGCGTTCGAGAAATTTTCAAGAAACGAGTGTTTCCAGAAAATTGCTTTGAAAAATTAGTGTCTAGAAATGCTCGCTCGAATCTATTGACTCTATGGAAATTCTTGTAGTCATTTTTCCATTCGGGGGAAACTTTTCTTTCTACAGTAGATTCTGAACTTGTGAAAACTATATAGAATTCGTAAAGTATCTGATTCGATTTTCATCGAACATACTTAGCGAAATAATATTCATTCTACTATATCGAGCATATTCTATGTGAATTTTCGTAGTGGTATCCTGCAGAAACAATGCTTTCCTGCTTGATTTCTCACAAGTATCGAGAATGAAAATTATCGTAAAGACTTCAGCAATGAGAGGAAACATTTTTTTACACGAGTAGAAACTCTCACTGTTTTCATGGCAGTGGGAAACGGGAATCGAGAAAAGTCGTCTCTGCTATGCATGACTGATCATTTTCTTATTTAGTATCAACAGACCGTATGAATATTGAAAAACTTTCTTTACACTACATTTTTTTTCTTTTCATAGTTGCTTAGTTTAAACCAATCAGCTGAATAATTTAGTGTGTGAGAAGAATGAGTTGTCAAGAAAACTCATGATGCTTTGAATTAGTAATAATGATACAAGCTAAAACCGAGATTACTCAAGATGAGTACAGAGTGCGCTGAAGGCGTTTCAGTCTAGTTAAATGGCTGGTCTCTGATCCGTTTTAATTATCTAAAAAGTGGACAAACATATCTTTCAACTATGTTGAATATGAAAACGAATCCAATTTCGATTGATAATTCATGATCTCACATCGTGGAAAACATCAAGTATTATATGCTATTGGGAATCCAATGTTGGGATCTAAATTTTGTCTTTTTGTGATTCTTTTTCTATTTTACGGACTATTCTGAATGGAGTATATAGAGAAATGGACTAGTCAAAAAGCATTTGCTAGATATTTTTTATGGAAATAAATACAGATAAAGGATATAGAAGATGTTTTAGACTAGATCCAATGGATATTTCGGACTAATATCCATTTCAAATTAAAAGAAGGGTGAGTATTTTTGGAATAATTTTCGATAGGAACTAGATATATATCTGCGGATTTCACCGTTAAAAAGAGAAAATAAAACTGCATTGAATCTTGAATACCAGGATTTTCTGACAAGTTTTCTCAAAGCTACCTGTCTAGTTTTTTAAAAAATCGAGACTTATTAATAGGTTTAGAAAATGGATTTTGCGTCAAAAAATTAGAAAAAATGTCAATTTTTTGTTAAAAATCTGTCGAAAACATTTAGTAAAACATTAATAACTCTTGATTGGCTAAGCCTTTTAACGCCGAACTTATACAGATTATTCAACTTTAGTTAATGATTCTGTTGCGCTGTTGAAAAAAAAATTCTAAAACATTTAAATTACACAATGTTTTCTGTTTTAGAAACTTGGCGAGTAGTCTTGAGAAAACTTGTCAGAAAAGTCTGGTATTCGAGATTCAATGCAGTTTTATTTTCTCTTTTAAACGGTGAAAACCACAGATCTATATCTAGTTCCTATCGAAAATTATTCCAAAAATACTCACCCTTCTTTTAATTTGAAATGGATAATAGTAATGTTGCTAATTTTTACTTATTTTTTGCTTACTTTGATAGTCATGAGAGATATCTGTGTTAGTTACATCATGGATGGTCTTTGGAATAATGTTGACAGTGTATTCTCGTGTTTCACTGTAGTCAGTTCTGCCACATTTTTTCATATATCCATTACTTGACTTCACAACAACGCGCATGATATGTGATCCAGCTCTCATAGCTTGCTCATCGATACTAGGTATAGGAATTTCCAAATCATAAATGCCTAGTTTCATTGTAGTACGCAATGGCCATCGATGAGGAACGCGACTTTCTGATTCATCAAATATTCCATCGTTGTTTAAATCAATAAGAACATTTACGTCATAAGCAAGATTGCAATTGACTTTAAATGTACCCTTAGCAGAACGATCGTCACAATCCAATTGAATACGCATTCGATAGATGGTATTTTCATATAAGGTAACAGCCATGTGATGTCGATTTTGATCCTGTTTGATTATAGTATTTATTGATGTGTCATCTCGAATGTGTGATCCTTGCTCACCAGCCATTATAACAAGTACAATTTTGCCACTGATTTGAGAACATACTGCATCACTTAATGTCAAAAATGGACCACCAATATTAACTAGAAATAATTGAAATTTATAAAATTAGTTATTTTGTATGAATTCAAGTGAGAAAGCTATGCAGCATATCGTTTCCTAGAAATTTTAAAACTTTGCTCATGTTGTGCAAGTTTGTTACTTTCTACCATTCTATAAAAATCAAATACATTTAAGGTAGAACTCTTGTTTAAGAATATCCGCTTTCTATCAAGATATAATAAGAATATAATTGAAATCATCTAAGAATTGTATAAATCGATAAATTCAATGTAGAACAATGCAATGTATTTATACTTGGCGATAGTCATTACTCAATATTGAGTTTCTTTGACAAACACAAAATAGAAGAATAAGCAGTCTCTGTACACTTGTACACGACCTTACAACTCTAATATCATATTAATTTAAGTTCAGCTAATGAAGAACATATTCATGTTTTTCGTGTTTGATTTTCTGATCATATCTATTGATATTCATATACCCAGACACTTAGTATAAAATGACAAGCATATAGAGATAAAAGTAATTTTTTCCCACTGAAAGAAATATTAGTTCAGATAAGAAATTTTTTCGGAATATAGCATATGTAACTTAAAAAGAAATCTTCTATTATTTTCTTCATACTTCTGTTGATAATCATAAACATTGAATCAAAAAACTTTTATTAGAGAAACTACTCATAGAATCTTTTTTTTTATGAAATTGAATGATTACAGTTGATTTATTAATTACATTATTTATTATTTGAAAAAACAGTATAAATTTCTAGGTCTAGAAGAAAAGTATAGTCAAAATTATGTTTCTCTTCTAAAAATTCTTGCATAAATTATATAATTAAAAATGATCAAACTACTATTTCTCAATATCGAAATGATCTTATCTTGCTCCAAATTTAATACTCGATCTATCATACTCAATAAAGATGAGAAAAATATTTTCTTAAACTTGACTGTATATATGCTCATAAAAATACTATTCATTTATTTGTGCAGTATCTACTTAGGGCATACCAAAAGTAGTGAGAGTGACACTTTAATACCGTATGATGAACTTAAAGAAACTTTCTTTCTATATAGTCTGATAGAGAAAAAAAAGCTCTATCTTTCTATGCTATTTGGTCATACTTCAGCTAATATCATATTAATGAAATTTCGATAAGATCTGTTTTGTTCGCATATGTCACGGTTCTATGAATGCTACTGAGCATTTTTTGAATAACTGTTGATACAAATAAGATAGAGAAGTGTGATCTTCACCATTGGAAAAAGGAGATGAAGATGCATCGAATTGTATATTGTAGATTTTTCTAATATTGACTTCTGAAGTATTTTTATTAAATTTTCTAACAATCGTAAAAATGGTTCTTTTATGAAAAAAAGGAGAAAGCAAAAAACTAAGCTTTCTTCACAGATTTTACTACAAAATCGTATTAGAGGTTTGACAAGAATGCATAATATTTATCTTAGCGTTCCGAACCTTTTAGATCTTGGATTAGTGGCTTGAATTTATACTTGATAATTAGAAATTCATTGTAAAAAAACATACCAGATAGGTTTGTTTTTGAAAAGATCAATTGAAAAACTTACAAAAAACAGATTAGGAAAAACTGGGATACATGACTCAATGCATCTTTATCTCCTCTTTCCAACGGTAAAAACCGAAGTACTCTATCTTGTTTTTATCAAAAGTTATTCAAAAATAGTCACTTGTATTTTTTAAAATGAGTATTAATACAACCAGCACATACGATAACGAAACACATCTTATCGAAATTTTAGTATTATGATATTAGTTGAAGCATCATTAAATCGCATAGAAAGATAGAGCTTTTTTTTCTCTATCAGACTATACAGAAAGAAAGTTTCTTTAAATGTACTATCTGGTGCTAAAGTGTCACTCTCACTACTTTTGGTATGCCCTATGTATCACAGGAAACTTATGGAAAAAGCTACTTGAGAGAGTATCTTATACTTCATTGAATGGCAAATACATTTCTAATTTCAGCATAATTTGCTTTTCAATAATGAAAGTTGAAATCATCATATTACGTAGACAAAATTGTTTGATAATAGAAATAGTCAAGTCACATTCATAAGATTCAATGTCTTTAGCTGAGAGAAGAAAAAAAAATTTACCTGATTGCTTATCTCGCACAATAGTAACATTATACTCTCGTGTCTCCTGGTAGTAATTCTTGCCACATTTCTGACGATACTGCTCATTTAACATTACATCAAGACGTAATCGATGTGGTCCACTTTTTGTCATTGATCCATCGATTATTGGTACATATATTTGTAGATCATAGATGCCTTGTGGTACATAACTAGCGAGTGGCCAGCGATAGGGAGCTGCATATTCTATATCGTCATATCTCCCATCATTGTTTAAATCAATCCATGCAGCGACATCATGAGGAAGCTGACAGTTATTCATAACTGAGGATATGCCTTTTGGATCAGTGCATTCCAGTTGAATGCGTAGCAGATAGATGGTGTCTTCATACAGTACTATAGGTCGATGCTGATAAATTCGACTTTTACCATTCAATGCAGCTCTCGTTGATTCATCATCTCGAATTTGTGATCGATGTTCACCAGCCATGACAACAAGAATAATTTTGCCAACGTCAGAAGAACATGCCATGTTATATGCTAACTCTGATTTAGGCATAGCATCCATCGCTGAAAAAATCAACGCATAAAACGAATTATTATATTCTAGTCGTAATATAAAATATAAATAGCTTCTTATGTCGTATGTGATTTAACATATTTTCAATGCTGTATTATTTTCTTAACGGTTGAAGAGTAAATAATAACGGGATTGAATTGAAACCTTCACAAATTCATTGAAATACTTATTTACATGAATATACGAAATTCTAGTTGATCAATTGTAACAAACAAACTGACTTCTGTACTAAAACTTCTCAAAAATGTAGCAGGAGCAGAAGGAAACTTGTTAGCAACAACCTTACATTTTCAATAGTCTAGAAAGGATATAGTTATCTAGATACATAATCTCAATATGTCTTTATAGATCATCCCAATGGAAAACCGAGTTCTAACAAATTTTAGAGAGATTGATTTGTAATGAATCTCAATGTCAAATATATATGTTAGCTAAGGACAAACTTACAGCTTGCATATGGTTGAACTATGCATGCAGGGAGTTCTATATACGTGTTTACAAATGTTCTATAAAATGGTATTTTATATGTCTACCACAGTTTTAAGAATTCAAAAGCTTTTCCTAACATGTTTCAAATCTCAAACAGTTTTCAAATTTCAAACGTTTTCCTAAGTTTTAGAACACTACACATTGGTACTTATGTAAAATGATGATTTATCTATAACCGAATAGGCAAATTACTTTTTGTCTTTAAGAAAAATATTATGCATCGGAAATGCAGACTGTACACAGAGCGAGCATTACGACGACAACCATATAGAAACAATCGAAAACGATGTCGTAAATCATCTTTCTTAGTAGTTTTAGATTGTAAATAGACCGAATTTATCGTATGATATGCATTGTCTCGCGGCCGTATTATGATTGTGCTAGATACGATTAATAACCGTAGTTATACGTTCCGAAAAAATGATTACTCTTCTTTATACGACTGTTTACCGTACAAAATATACCGAATGTGATTAGAAACTGTCGTTTATAGTCATTGCCTTTTAACATTAGTGTCTTTCAAATAAAACATTCGGAATTACCCTTTGAAGTAGCCCTATAGTTTCATATCTGCTTAACAAATATTATTCCATTGATGCGAAACCAATCGTATGTTTTGTAATAGCATAGACTTTTCGGATGACTGCATATATTACCTCTCAATGCATTGCAAAGAAGAATATTGTGTACTATAAATATTTTGTATTTGCCTCCTGGGCTGATATTTTCTGACCTAATCTCTTTATTAACATTAATATTCGATAGGTTATCTTGAAAAACTATATGCTTAGATATTCCCTGCTTATAGTTAAAACGGCGTAGTAAAATAATGGCAACCGACATTTTTTTCAAATTTTCAATGCAATCGGGTTGTTTTCTTAAGGGTACCCCCCCCCCCCTCTTTTTTGACACTTTTTGGTTCTCGAAGACGGTACAACCGATCAAGCTGAAATTTTTACCACAGGTAGAACATAAAAAATAACGAGATACGTGTTCGAGGAAAAAAAATTTAAACTAAGTTTTTGAGGGGTTTTCTGGAAAACCCTGGTTTTCCAGAGGTCCGCATCCTGATACATTACGACCCCCCTTTAACTTTGTCGGATCGGGCTGAAATTTTTACCACTAATATTTGAAAATATTCTCCAGAGGTAAAATCGAGCGTTTTCGTTTTTGATGTTCCTACTCGGAGTTACAGGGTCGCAAAAGCCAAGACCCGAAGTACAAACTCAAATGTTGGCGTATTTCTTTTATAAAAAAAAAAGAAAGTGAGACTTTTGGAAATCCTTAATTTTACCTCTGAGGAATAGTTTTAGGCGTCTATAAACAAAATTTCAGCCCAATCGGACAAAATTTAAGGGGGGTCGTAATGTATCAGGATGCGGACCTCTGGAAAACCAGGGTTTTCCCGAAAACCCCTCAAAAACTTAGTTTAAATTTTTTTTCCTCGAACACGTATCTCGTTATTTTTTATGTTCTACCTGTGGTAAAAATTTCAGCTTGATCGGTTGTACCGTCTTCGAGAACCAAAAAGTGTCAAAAAAGAGGGGGGGGGGTACCCTTAAAGAATGAGTAATGCGAGCAATAATAGCAGAAAAACATCCACTAATAAACAGAAGAACACTTACCAGAATATTTCATTCTTGGAATAATAGTGACCCTATATTCTCGTTGTTCGCTGTATTCTAAATGACCACATTGTCTTTCATAATAATCACTTGGTGTGATAGAAATACGCATTCGATGTGCTTCACTTGTCATATATCTGCTATTGAGTGCTGGTACATGTATTTGTATATCATAAATGCCCTCTGCCATGTAACTAGTCACAGGCCAACGATAAGGAGCTCGGATTTCCGATTGATCAAAATTTCCATCATTGTTTAGATCAATCCAAACATTTACATCTTGAGCAAGATTGCAACCAGTTTCAGTTAATTCAGTTCTCAATTGCGACGAACAATCCAGTCGGATGCGTAGGATATAAACAGTTTGCTCAAAAAGTGTAACTGCCGTATGATGTTGATTTTCATGACTTAGCTTTATTTCACTCCATGATTTATCATCTCGAATTTCTGTTCCTTTCTCACCTGCCATTAAAACAAGAGTAATTCTGGCAATGCTTAAAGAGCATGCAGGTAAGGCTGTTGTTTCTGCTACAACTAAAGGATATTTTTTTAGTAATAAAATGCAATTGAAGATACAACACCTCATACTCTCCATACAATACCGATCTGATTCTTCTATCTTTATTATTAAATAATAATCGATCTTGTTTTAGCAAGCAAAATTATTTGTATCATTCATACTCTAAGCAAAAGTTTTGTTTTCTCAAAATGGCTCTAATTTGATTATGATTATATTGTGATATTTTATAGTTTTCTACATACAATCGTACGTACAGAGATCTTGTATGAAATACAGATTTTACAGAATAATAATCGCACTTTTTCATTATTATACTACGAAGAAAAATAGCTCTTTTTCAAATGTATTTGTAACATTGGAGTGTATATTTTTCCTGAAAATCGACCAAAAATGAAAGTAAAACAAGAGCATGCACAATAGGAGCGTTGTATACCAACGTTTTTACAAGTTTTATAGCGTCCATTGTTGCGATTATATGTCTTAAAAAAACTTTATGAAGAAAATTTAGTTGTGGAATGAGAAGCGGAATGAAGAATAGAATGCATTCACTGTATACGATGAAAGGATATAGTAGCATTACGATTCGTAGACTTTTCTCTTTCTTCGAAGTTGCTGCTAATATACACAAAGGTGCTTCTCCTTGACTTAAAAAATCGTACCTCTTCGTTTACAGTGAAGCGTTGCCATCTGAGGAAAATACTAAATCGTCTTTCTTCATCGAAAATGAAAATTTATATATTGATTAAAGTATTCTAGAAGCACAGTTATTTCCACATGCATAATTCCGAAATACATTTTTTTCAAACTATTTTTAATCATAACAAGAGTGTATGAAATCATAAGACTTCCAAAAATGACTCAGTCTTTCTACAATACACAATCTTTATGTGAAAAGCATGATTTGGGTTTTTCTTCAGTACAAAGATCATATGTCTTTACTTAATCAAAGCTATCTGTGTAGCTAATATTCACACCTATGAGAGTCGAATGTTTGAAAATCTGTTGGCTAATCATTGACAACATATGTAAATCAGTAGTATCCTTAGCATCAGAGTAGCTCAAGTTAAAACGCCGTCATAAGAGGTCGTATTCTTGATCATTGTGAACTTTCTAGTTTGAGGATAGAAAAGCCTTTTAAATTTATCGAGCCCACACTTTCCCCCTCTAAATCATAAATGACTATTATTGCTATCGATTTTATCAAATTTCATCAAGCTATTGTTGAACTTGATCGATATTACCAAAAAAAACTTTGATATACACAATGACGAAGGAATCAAATGAAGAGACGAATAAATGAGCAAGACTCTGATCAATAATCTGAATGTCTCATGCTATATTTGTTCATGATTAGGCAGTATAATCTGAAATTTTCAAATGAGATAGTTTGTCTAAATAAAAACCTGGTATCTATAAATGTTGTTAAGTTGCCAAGACTCAAGAATATCACTATGTAAGAATATGAATTTTCGTTTTGATCAATAAAAAGAGTCACACGTAGCCGTACAATTCTATAGAGAAATATCGTTACATCGTTGTATATAACATAGAAAGACCATCATTTTGCTATTTTCTCCACCAAAACGAGAAAAGAAGTCTTCTTTTGCTAGTCTCTCAGTGGAAAAATAGTTGTGCATGGCTGTAAAGTTTTATGGAACAAAAGACATTGTCTTTTTCTTTTTGTGAGTATCTGGATAATTCTCAAGAGTAAGTCTTTTAAGATATCATATCATATAAATATTCTACAGATTGTGCAATGTTATAAAAAGTGTCATACTTTCAAAACTATTAATGACACTTATTAGATCTTCTATTGATTTAATGTAGTGTAACAGTTTCAATATATATTGATGGTATCTTTTACAGAAAATAATTGAATTTATGGGATCCAAAAAATTCGAGCGCTCCAAGCAACTTTTTAAGCTAAGCTTCCCGATATGAAAGTCATTGCTCAATTTACAATGAAATAGTGAAACATTGATTTCCTCAACTTTGCATTGTGTTACATCGTATAAGTTGAGGAGTAAAGATAGTTTTCTGTTAAATTGTATGACTACTAATGATCAATTACTGATCAAAATAAAATTCATCTTCTTTCATAGAGATATTTCTGAGTCTTGACAACTTAACGACATTTATAGATACCAGATTTCTATTTAGACAAACTTTCTCATTTGAAAATTTCAGGTTATACTGCCTAATCATGAACGAAAATTGTATGGAAAAGCTCATATGTTTTGATGAGAATCTTGCTCATTTATTTATTTCTTCATTAGATCCCTTCATCCTTATGCGTATCAAAGTTTTCTGTAATACTAATCAAGTTCAATAATAGCTTGATGAACTTGAATAAAATCGATAGCGATAATAATCAATTATTGTGTGATGGTGGAAAATGAGGGTTTGGCGAACTTAAATGACCTTTTTGCTCTGATGTTAGAAAATTCACAATGATCAAGAATAGAACCTCGTATCCTTTTTTTTTACTTGAGTTTCTTTGATGTTGATGAAACTGATGATGTACATCTTTTGTAAACTACTAAAATACAAATTTTCATGCGTTTGGCTCTTATTGATATTAAGATTTGAGGAAGAAGGCGTATAGTTTTGAGTAGCAGAGTATGTGAAAATACTACATTGAGTTGAATATGATTTCTACGTCTGTTCATGCAGTTAAATGACAATACCCGGAATATAACGTTCGACAAAGAGTTTCTCGTAGGTCTGCTTTCTGAGAGTATATAAGAAAAAGTTGCTAGTGAAATTGCTGTAGGATTCGAATTTGAAACAAGACATAACTCTTGTTGCTCATTAGAAGAAAATCATTCTAGTCTATTTATGTTGGGGCCCATTTCTTCAAGGTCGTTTACTTAATTCTTTACAGCTGTGATAAAAACGTAAGTCATGCACTCTAATAAGACGATAGTAATATACAATGCTTAATCATGTATCAAAAGTCTGCTATGCTCTATGACAGTCTCTGAAGATTATCTGTTATGGTCTGTAGAGAAGGGAAGGTAAACAAATTTTTACCCCTGTGTTCTTGTATACTTAATTTAAATCATGTTTCACAAGAGAATATAAGATTTAAAGTAAACCTGCTCAGTCAAAAACAGTTGCTTTCCAACAAAGCCTTAATCGCTTGTGACCGATTTCCTAGAAATGACGAGAATCAAAACATTTAACAAATCTTGTATTTGATACAGATGACCGAATGTGCATCGTGATGAATCAATTTTTGTAGTTAATAAAAAGATAATGTTTTACCTCCATATGTTGTTTTTGGAATGATGTTGACTGTGTATTCCCGTATTTCTTTATATGGAAAATCACCACATTCTCTTTTATACTCGTCGCTGGGCATCACAGATATCACCATGCGATGAGGTCCGGATTTCGTCGTCATGTCGTCAATTCTAGATATTTGTATATCCGAACTGAATATATCCCTGGGTGCATCATGCTGTGGCCAAGCCCGTTGAAGAAGTAGAGTTTCTTCATCATTGTGCCCGTTGTCATTGGTGTCAATCCACACACTCACACTTAAAGAACGGCTACAGGAACTATCGTGCAAATTTCCAGTCGAGAATTCATCAGAATTCAGTTCAACATGCAATTGATAGATCATGTCCTCATACACTTCAACGGTCAGATATTGATGATTTCGACCATCGTTTGTAATGTTAACCATTCGTATATCGTCTTCAATTCGTGACCCGTATTCGCCGGTCATTCGAACAAGACCGAGTTTGTTCATACAAAGGGCACATCGAGACCCATGCAAAGCTGTATCTTGTGAGTCAAAAGCAATTGGCACTAATAGAAATAAAGGTACAGAATGAATTGTCGAATTTTCTGTCAAAATATCATGCGGTTCAAAAACACTTCAGACATGAAAGTATTGCTGAACTCATATGAAGCTGTTTACAGATACTGACATACTATGAAATTCAAGATTTTTTTCTGTGTGTTGTTAGTTCAAAGCAAGAAAATCTATGAAGAAGGGTGTGAGTGTGGGTAAAGAAAAAGAAAACACCCACACCCTTTTTGTTCAGTGGAAACATTCATTGAGGATGCATGTTGAGCTGTATCTGAATACAATTATTAGTTCGCATCAATCGAGATCATGTTCGAAGCATGCAAAAAATAGGTTTGAGTATTTGATCAATGTTATTTTTCTTACATAGATAAGAAAATAGAATCGGCAGTGATATCAACGTAAATTATACAGAGAATTATGTGATACTCATAAATTAGCATGAAACTGCGCATGGTTGTATTGATGAAGAAGATAGTCATCATTTTAACTATTTTAAGGATGGTAGATAAATGAGACTAAACTGAAAATTTTGCATTATAACCTTTGCAGAACTAGAATGTGAATCATGATGGCCCTGCTCTAGACGTAAAGAAGGATTGTACCTTCACCGATGATATTATCTCTCGTAGTCAGATGTACTGAGAAATTAAAAACTTCAGGGTTCAACACTTCGGACGTTATCATACTAATGACCAATACTCAATGCTGACTAATAAAAGGAATTTTTCAAAGTCTATCACAATTTGTGCAGTTGGCACGCACTTTTCTCATCGTGCACTTCAACGTTCATGCTCAGCCATGTATTGCATCATAATCTCAAATCATCTATATGAAATAGTTGTTTGAAGATAGATGAGAAAACTAAACCAGAAGAACTATAATGGGAAGTAGAAGATTTAAGAACCATGTAGTTATAGTTGAACAATACATTAGATTTCTATATGTCGTTTAAAGGAAGCTCTTTTATCTGGAATTGTCACTACAAACTAGATTGATAGATGCACGAAAGCATCTTTGACTGAAAGAATCACTCATGTTCACTACATATAATGAAGACTCGACTTATTTTTTCAGTGAATTCAGAACAAATTATAAATGAAATAATGTTCATTTGAAGCTCATATTTTTT